TTTTTTATCTTAGGCTCTGGTTATGTGGGTTATTAGCTATTCAGTGTCATCATCTTTGGTATTTGTATATTTGTAGCTCAGGCTTGAAATATGAAGTTGAGCCCCATATTAATTTTGTAAATAGCTTAAAGTGAAAAAAAACATATCTAATACTTCTTCCTCTTCTATTTTCCAAACAACAATGACCTTGTGAAGTCCAAGCAAAACACTGCAGTCATTAAATGAGTCCCATGGCTGTTAAGTGAATCCGGCTTCTCTTCTCTCATTGACTTTACATGTTGGAAGCCAGCTGGGAAAGGGTGCAAATGGTGATAACGTGTTCCCAAGATACTGCAACAATCATACATACATGCCAGTTGCTAAGTGCACAAATTTTGTTCACCTAACGTCAGGGATGCGGTAACACTTGTAATTATAGGACCAGTGGTAAGTTTGAGGAATTCAAATGCCCTCGGAGTCTTGCTTGCAATGGATTTATTACTTGGGACCCTGACATTAAGTCACTTTTTTCCAGTGCCATTGTAACTTTGAAGGATTGCTAAATGAATGGTCATAAGTTGAGAACTACCTGTAGTCAATTTAAGGGAGATAAGAGAATGAGTAATCATTTCCAGGACATCCGATTCCAGGACTTGTATGTTTTATTATAAATTTTATGGGGGGGGGTTGTTTTGGTTTTAAACAAAAGATGCATAAGTATATATATGCCTATGTTTTTACACTTTTTATTTTAACATTTGTATGCTGCTGTCTGGAAACACATTTGATTAGAACAGCTTACAAATGTATTTAAATCAATCAATCAATCATTTACACAACGCTATTGTCAGATGTGGAAGCCATCTTTTACAGTTGGGCCTTCAGGCCAGGGGTGAAATCTACTTACCTTCCCTACTGGTTCGGAAGTGTGCGTGCACCTCCCGTGCAATTTTGGACCCTCTGCGCATGCACAAAGCCTTCCGCGCATGCGCAGAGGGTAAAAACCAGGTTACTTCCTGGTTAAAACCAGGAAGTAAGGATGTCTGGGTAGGTGGGTGGAGCCTCGTGCTGCCGCCGCTACCAGTTCTCTGAACCACCCGCCGCCACTACCAGTTCGCCCGGACCAGTGCGAACCAGTAGCTTTTCACCCCTGCTTCAGGCCTGCCACATTTTCTACTGTGGGAAAATGGGAGGGGCGTATTGCATAGAGTATAGGTGACATGTAGTCAAAATAACATTCCTTTCTCAGAGAGTCAAGGACGCCTTGCCCTGGCACCTGGAATCGGATGACTGCGAGGTATCTCCAATTTGAATGGTGGATGATTGGACGATGTGATGGACACCTTCCATCGCACGCTTAAAACGTTTTTATTTCATCAAGCTGGCCTGGCCTAAATCTTCTCCTTTTTTAAATTTAAATTTTAAACACAAATTTTAATCTGTTTAATTATGGGGTATTTTAAAATTCAGCCAAATTATTTAATCCGTTTTAATCTATTTTAAATTTTGTATCTCTGTGTTTTATCTTCTGGCTGTTCACCGCCCTGAGTCCTTCGGGAGAAGGGCGGTATAGAAATTTAATAAAATAAATAAATAATAAATAATAAATAAGTGGGTGCTGGGCAGGGACTTGAACTTTCACTTGGGTGGGGAATACCTGGAAGCTTTCTGATTCAGGTTTTCCCAGATGTGCCAATATGACATCTCTAATAAAATGGACCTTTGAGAAATCTCAAGCCTCGGAGTTTTCTTTCATTGGGGGTGTTAATTTGAACCCTGACCCTATTTTCCAGGCAGATTTTTTTTCCTGTTTAGCAAGAGGGACCTTTGAGAGCCCTTCCCCACAGAGATCCACCTGGATCCAACCCTAATTATATTCTGAAAGTCTTTCAAACACTGCCTGTTTTCCCGAGCCTTGGAGGCGAGATGGCTGTTGAATACCTGTCAGTTGTTTTTTCAGTCCGCTATGTATGCTTTTAATCCCAAACATACATGATTTATTTTCTAGCTTTTATTGTTCTTGCTTTTAAAAGGGTAAGTCATCCCGGGGGGCGGGGGAATGTTCTACATTCAAATAAATAAACGTTAGCACCTCTTCAAATTCTCCTTAGGAATACAGGATGTGCCACTGAGTTGGCCAAATAATTTATTTCCCCTTCAAATGTATCTGCAATAGATCAGATGGGCAGATTGCGAGATGGATGAAATGGGGGAACATTTAAATTGATTTGAAAAGCAATTTCCCTTTTTTAATGTAGGTTAAGGGCATACGTGGCTCTTGAGTCCAGCCCCGGTCCTATAGGTAGCTTCTGCTTTAGTTGTGATCAAAGGAGCTATGAGGCCCCAAGAATCAAGAACAACACATCAGTTTGGTGGGATTCAAAAAATTTTACTACCAGTTCTGTGGGCGTGGCTTGGTGGACATGGAATGGTTTTGTGGGCATGACTTGGTGGGCATAGTAGGGGAAGGATACTGTAAAATCTCCATTCCCACCCCACTCCAGGGGAAGGTTACTGCAAAATCCCTATTTCTTCCCGATCAGCTGGGACTTGAGAGGCAGAGAATAGATGGGGGCGGGGCCAGTCAGAGGTGGTATTTACTGGTTCTCCAAACTACTCAAAAGTTCCGCTACCGGTTTTCCAGAACTGGTCAGAACCTGCTGAATACCATCTCTGCAACACATGGAGTTACTTTGGAGTACTTTTCTTTATTATTCTTCACCTATAGACAGAATCTTGCCAGATTAAAGTAACTGTTTGCATAACTATAGATATATCCTGAGAAATGTAGGCAGGAGCTACTTTAACCCTCTTCATGCCAACCAAACTTTTCAAGTTCCACTGCCGCTTTGCCCTCTGGGAAGCACCCCCTCCCTCCTGGTAATCCAGACTATATTCCACACCACAGAAACCTGTTTCCTCACTTCAACCTGGAACCAGGTTTTGTAGACAAAAATAGCAAAAGTTGTGCAATTCAGCACAAGGACAAGCCACAATAAAGCCATGCGTGCAAGCAATGCAAATTGCATTCTCCACATCGTTTGAGTGAAGATGTCATGACAGGTGTGATGTTATTTGTCCTCATGGACACCCATGCCTTCACTAGGAAACCAAAGATGAAATTTCTAATCTCCATGTGGCCTTATATTAAACCAGAAAAAAAGTGGAAAAAAAGAAAATCCCCTTTTTGTTTTTGATATAGTTCAGCCTTTAGCTCAGCAGGCACTGGACATGCTTCACCTTTGAAGTGCATGGTGAAACTTCCCTCTGATATAGGACCTCCTGAGCAGAGGTGGTATTCAGCTGGTTCATACCAGTAAGGGTGAACCGGTAGCGGAGATCGCGGGCGGGCCCAACCCTCTACCCCGTCTCTATGCCATCCTATTTAGACACGGTTTTGAGGCCGGGCGCATGTGCAGAAGATGGGCGCGTGAGCAAAGCGCATGCACAGAAGGCCAGGCGCCAGAGGTGAGTTTCAGCAGGTTCTGACCAGTTCTGGAGAACCGGTAGTGGAAATTTTGAGTAGTTCGGAGAACCGGTAGTAAAAATTTTGACTGGCCCCGCCCCCATCTATTCTCTGCCTCCCAAATCCCAGCTGATCAGGAGGAAATGGGGATTTTGCAGTAACCTTCCCCCGGATTGGGGAGGGAATGGAGATTTTACAGTATCCTTCCCCTGCCACGCCCACCAAGCCATGCCCACAGAACCGCTAGTAAAAAAAAATTGAAACCCACCACTGCCGGGCGCATGCGCAGAAGGTGCACACACACACAAAGTGAGCGTGCTCGAGCGTGGTGAACCAGTAGCAACAAAATGTGAAACACACCGCTGCTCCTGAGGTCTTTGACACACACAGTATTTATCTTCAAATGATTCTCTGAGGCAAAATGTGTCTTTCTCTCTTTTTACTAAAGCAGCAATCCAGCACAAATTAAAAACAAGCAACAAAAAAAAAAGTATCAAAAGATTCCTGAGTTAATTTAGCATGGCTCAACATTCGCAAAATTAAGTGACGAACTCATTTCTACATCAAGGCCTGTAAAGTAAATTGCTTAGCTAGTCTATGTGAAGCACACACTAATCAGAGACAACTGCATTTTCCGTGTCAGGTGAAAAGACTTCTCCTTTTATATCCTTTTTTCATCTATGATTTACATAATAATTCATATCTCACCTGTAATAAATATTTATGAAAAAATGTTTCTTCTGTTCTTACATTCCCATGCTTTTCACATGTCTGGCATGCCAAAACACATTCCCAAGACTGTTTGTATAAATGTGGGTGCATGCTGAAGTCCCAAGGAAGAACTTACATTTGCTCTAATCATTTCAATAACCATGCGGGAAAATATAGCACAAAGTTTTCAGAGAATTTGACAGTCAGCCAGAAAGATAATTGGCACCTTTCTGTGATTTGAGCCCATGTATACCAAAAGACATTTCAAATTGTTAACTACCAAAACCCTAAAGACAAGCTGATTGAAGCTAGTTAGCCTAGATTTGAGCCTCTTCTCAGAGATAATTCTATTGGCAATTCTATTCAAAATAACATTTCCAAATTGGAAATTGAATGTTAGCAGAAACTGGCTTCCTACAACATGCTAAATATATATATTTCCATCTCTACCTATATACATACAAATACATCGTCGTCTTTTAATAACCCCATAATCCCTTGCAGGGTGGAGTTTGGGCGACTGAATGGAGCTGAGTGTTTACTGGTCGGATGCCCTTCCTGTTGCCAATGTATAGTAATCTTCAGCAGATATATGCTCATCATGCCCAGAGAGAGAAATATCTGCCTCTACCTAGGATCAAACTCACAGCCTCCTGATTATGAGGCAAGAGCTCCCACCTCTAGGCCACCGCACCACTCATATATACATACAAATACATCTCAGATGGAAAGCTAATGTCCCAGGTTCAAGACCCAAGCACCGCACAATGGGGTGAACTCCTGTTACTTGCCCCAGTTTCTTAGCTGTTTGAAAGCATGCACATGTGACTAGATAAATAGGTACCATTTCAGTAGGAAGGTAACTGGGTTCCAGGCATCTGAGCATAGAGTTGTGCTGGCCATGTGACTATGGAATCATCTTTGGACAATGTTGGCTCCCTCAGCTAGGAAACATAGATGAGCAATGCCCCCTAGAGTTGGTCATGACTAGTTAAGGGAAACCTTTACCTTTTAACAAGATGAAAAACCTCAAGATTCCATCCTCAGTCAGGGACACGCCCCCCATTGTCTCAACATTCCATCTCATAACAATGGACTTCCCCAGCTCTGCTGCCCTCCTGAAAGGCCAATGTAGCTTCATAATAGAACTAAGCTCAGAACTAAACTTGTGAAGAAGGCACAGAAGAGGCTGTACTTCCTGAAAATGCTCAGGAAGATAAATCTATCTCAGCATCTACTTCTGTCCTACTATCGTAGCACCATTGAGAGTGTCCTGACATACGGCATTCTTGCATGGTATGGGAGCAGCTCTGTAGAGGACAAAAAAAGCTCTACAGAGAATCATTAAAACTGCCCAGAATATTATCGGACTCCAGCTACCAGCCCTGGACAACATCTTCGAATCTTGCTGTTTGAGGAAGTTGCATAACATTCTCAGAGACTCTTAGATTTTTAGATTTAGATTTTATTGAACTTCTATACCACCCTTCTCCCAAAGGACTCAGAGCAGTGTACAGCTATATTAAAACACATATAAACCACAAAATTTAAGAACAATTTAAAAACAAATATATAAAATTTGGCCCACGAAATTAAAAACTAACAAACACCCAATTTAAAAATTCCTATTAGGCCAGCCTGGCTGGTTGGAATAAAAGAGCCTTCAGGGCGCGGCAAAAGGTACGCAGGTCGGGGATCATATGAACCTCTAGGGGCAGCTCATTCCAGAGGGCTGGTGCCCCCACAGAGAAGGCTCTCCTGCTGGGTGTCACCAGTCGACATTGTTTGGCCGACGGCACCCTGAGGAGCCCCTCTCTGTGGGAGCATATTGGCTGGTGAGAGGCTATCGGTGGCAGAAGGCGATCTTGTGTATATCCCAGTCCTAAGCCATGGAGCGCTTTAAAGGTGGTCACCAACACCTTGAATCGCACCCGGAAGACCACCGGGAGCCAGCGCAGCTCGCGTAGGAGAGGTGTTACATGGGTGCGCCATATCACCCCCATAATTACTCGCGCAGCTGCATTCTGGACCAGTTGGAACCTCCGAGTGCTCTTCAAGGGGAGTCCCATGTAGAGAGCATTACAGTAGTCCAGACGGGACATGACGAGGGCATGAGTGACCGTGCACAGGACATCCCGGTCCAGAAAGGGATGCAACTGGCGTATCAGGCGAACCTGATAAAAAGCTCCCCTGGCCATGGCCGTCATATGATCTTCCAAAGACAGCCGTGCATCCAGGAGAATACCCAAGTTGCGAGCCCTCTCTGAGGGGGCCAAGATCTTGCCCCCAATAGTCAGTGATGGAACCAGCTGACTATACTGGGACACCGGGAGCCACAGCCACTCGGTCTTGGAAGGGTTGAGTTTGAGCTTGTTTCTCCCGATCCAGATCCACATGGCCTCCAGGCACCGGGACATCACGTCAAGGGCATCATTGGTATGGTCCGGGGTGGAGATGTACAGCTGGTTGTCGTCAGCGTACTGGTGGAACTTCACCCCGAAACCACGGATTATCTCACCCAGCAGTTTCACATAAATGTTGAACAGAAGGGGTGAGAGGACTGACCCTTGCGGCACCCCACAAACAAGGCGCCTCGAGGTCGACCTCTGTCCCCCTGCCAACACAAACTGCGTATGGTTGGAGAGGAAGGAGGAGAACCACAGCAAAACGGTGCCCCCCACTCCTAACCCCTCCAATCGTCGCAGCATGATACCATGGTCGATGGTATCAAAAGCCGCTGAGAGGTCTAATAGGACCAGGACAGAAGAACAGCCCCTGTCCCGAGCCCTCCAGAGATCATCAACCAATGCGACCAATGCCATTTCCGTGCTTCCCATCCTGCTTACAATCTTTTTGGTCTGTTGCCTTCTGGCAGAAGATACAGAACAATTAAAACTCGAACCACACATTTTCTGAATAGTTTTTATCCCAGAGTTATAATTGCACTCAACAATGAACTACCACCAATAGCTTCCCACCGGCCATTACGCTCTCATAGAGAGGGACTCCTCCGGGTGCCGTCAGCCAAACAGTGTCGACTGGCAGCCCCTAGGAGGAGAGCCTTCTCTGTGGGGGCACCTACCATCTGGAATGAGCTCCCCCCGGAGATATGGAGGATCCCAGATCTGCGCACCTTCTGCCGCGCTGTGAAGACCTTTTTATTCCATCAGGCGGGCTTGGCCTAATCTCTTCCCTTTTTTAAATATGTAAATTTTAATCTGTTTTTAAATTATTGGGGTGTTTTAATCTGTCTGGGCCAAAATGATTTAATTTGATTTTATCTGGTTTTTAAATTTTTTGTATCTATGTATTTTATTGTTTGGCTGTTCACCGCCCTGAGTCCTTCGGGAGTAGGGCGGTATACAAATCAAATAAACTAAACTAAATAAACTAAACTAAACTAAAGGGTGAGCTGTTGGACAGTATTACTTGGTCTTTTGTGTGGATGTCTCGGTGGTTTAGGGGTGGGGAATTGTGGTGGGTGGGAGTGTGTTTGGGGATTATGTGTGTGGGACCTGGTCTTTGGGTGTTAAGTAAATTTTGTTGTATGTGTATACTGTGTATACACATACAATGACAATAAAGTTTATGTTTTTTATTATTATTATTATTATTATTATTATTATTATTATTATTATTATTATTATTATTATATGCAGACACAAGGACCTGCCCCGTTTCCCCCAAACTATTTCACTTAGCAACCATCACACTTAGCAATGGAAATTCTGCTCCCAATTGTGGATGTAAGTCGAGGACTAGCCATATAAATAATGTGTGGAATGTATACCAAAAGAGGCTTTAGTTATTTGGCTGCCATCTTGATTTTTTGTTTGTTTGTTTTAAATAGCCTTTATTCAACCTTTTTTAGTTTTAAAAACACATTTCCATTTTTAGAGCTTTCAATTATCGGTATCAATTCAAATTTCATAATTCCAATTTATGGCCTATTATTCTATACATTATGTACACCTTTAAATTTGATTTTTTTTGACACAGAAATTGTGTTTGATCATCTGCCTTAACTCATACAACAAACACATTTATTAAAGAAAATAAACCAATAATAAACAACAACATTAAAACACCCTTGAAGGCAGCGCTTAGAATGATATATAAAACAAAATTAGAATATGCAGGGCCTAAAGTAAACTCGTACATAACCGTATCCCTGCTGGAAAACTCAATTATTTTAAAGGTTTTCCTAAAAGTCTTGGGGAGATGCAGAATATAACCATTATACCATCGCACCATACTGATGGAGCACAATTTTGATTCTGTAGCTGGAACCTTTGTAATTAGGTAATAAATCTTGCGTGGCAGAGTAAGGGCTTTACACAGTTGTGTGTGCACATCACATAACTGGTGAGCCATTACACTCTGAACATTGTAATTCATCCGTCAGCAGAATATGAGATTTTGCAACAGCCCACATTCGAGGATACCATCACCTTATATCTGCAATGTCCTAACAGCAGCCTTTCCATAAATGTCCATTTCTCTGCAGAGGTCTTTTCCACAACTTTGCAGCCCCCCCCCTCTTTGTAGAGAAGAACTTATGTAATTAATGCAATAATGACATTGTCTGCTGGCATTCCCACCTTACCGTTGATGGAATTGTTTACTTGGGGGTGTGCTAATCGTTTATTGACTTTGCACAGCTTCTGCACTGGGGTTAAACACATTGTGCAAAGGAAAGGATGCACAAAATTAACTTTTTGCAGCTGGGGAAATTGCATGTTTATTCTTTCAGCATTTTGAACCTCAGTTAACAGCTTTCTCCTCCGTTTTTCTTTTTTTTTTTTTATCATGAGGAAAATGAATTGAAACCTGGCCAAGGGAAAAGCAATTAGGCCACATCATTTCAGGTCATTAGGTCTTATCTCATCATTTAGGGCTTTTCCTCAGCTTCAAGGAACATCTTTGCATCGTGGGTTGTTGGGGATCATGTACTGGATCACTGTGGCTATCATCGATATTGATTCCTGGGCTCTTGGACAACTGCCGAAGGTATGGTCTTGTCTCTCTTTTTAATGGTTCTTCTAAAATGTCCTTCAGAAGTAACTCTGCAGAAAAAGCCAGAAAATTTCCAACCCTATTTAGAAACATAATGTCAGGTATAAGCAACCCAGAGCCACTCATAGATAGCTAGAGTTGTTGTTAGTTGCGAAGTTGTGTCCGACCCATCGTGACCCCATGGTCAACGTTCCTCCAGGCCTTCCTATCTTCTACCATCCTCTGGAGTCCATTTAAGCTCACACCTACTGCTTCAGTGACTCCATCCAGCCACCTCGTTCTCTGTCGTCTCCTTCTTCTTTTGCTCTCAATCGTTCCCAGCATTAGGCTCTTCTCCAGGGAGTCCTTCCTTCTCATTAGGTGGCCAAAGTATTTGAGTTTCATCTTCAGGATCTGGCCTTCTAAAGAGCAGTCAGGGTTGATCTCCTCTAGGACTGACCGGTTTGATCGCCTTGCAGTCCAAGGGACTCGCAGGAGTCTTCTCCAGCACCAGAGTTCGAAGGCCTCGATTCTTTGGCGCTCAGCCTTATCGTCCAACTTTTATAGTCATACATTGCAACTGGGAAAACCATAGCCTTGACTATATAAACTTTTGTTGGCAGGGTGATGTCTCTGCTTTTAGTAAGCTGTCTAGCTTTGTCATGGTTTTCCTCCCCAGGAGCAAGCATCTTTTAATTTCTTAGCTAGAATAAGCAACTTTATTGATTTCTACCTAAATTACAAAACTCTCCCCAAATTACTTGCCTTTGGTAGAAATGACCAGATAAGGCTTCATGGATCTTTGGGGAGGGCAAGTTTATGCCTCTTGTGGCTGCACAGACTCTAAACAAAGTCCTTGCTTGACTCCTCCTTTCAGCCTATCTGACAGTTACCCAACAATAATGGATAAAACGCAATTGCAAACAATCCAATCAGGGTTTAAAATAGAGCATAGCAGAAGAACTGAAGACGATTGCACATAATATGTAATA